AAAGAGTGCAGGTACCATGATGCTACTGTGTAGCGTTCTGATTGATGTATTTGTTTTGTCATAAAATAAGGGGGCTTTCAGACTTTCTAATCTACTGATAGCATTGTTTTATTGATGACCGTAAAGCTGCATCTCCAACTCTTAACTTTTCCCAGTGCACTTCAGTCCTGTGTCTCCACCCACCCGTGTGCCATCGTACAGGACATGGACCACACCATCTGCATTTCCTCTCTGTGAAATGCAGAACCTGCTTCTGATTGGCTTGTTGCTGCCACGGGTGGCTTTACCGTGCTGCTGACACCCCAGGTGTGGATAGTGAGCAGCCATTGCCCTGACACATTTCCACACCCCTGTGTCTCTAAAGACCCCATGACTTGAACCTGCTAGAGCTGACCTTTTAGTAACACCCCCTGTTGAACACTCACATTTGAGACCATGAGTTAAACAGCATTCCATGTCAGGAAATCCGGTTGTTCTGCCAGAATCCAGCTGTGTTGTTTATTGGTTTTTTCCCCTCTGTTCCCCCTCCAGTTAACCACTCTCGTCTAATATTTTTACGCCTGGATGACTGACTTTCCAGACAGGAGCTTTGCTTCCCTGCGAACCATCTTCCCAAAACATGGGTCCTTCCAAGTTACTCTTGGAATCTGGAACTTGACTCGTCTTCCTGTTTTCCCATAGTCATCCCTAAAAGCTGTCATTCTTGAAAGCACCTATGACTTTTTTTTTTTTTTCATTGTGTAACACTGAAACAATATAGAAGTGTGTCCATACTCACCTCCGCACACACACACACTCACTCTCCTCCCCATAGGAGGTCATCAGTAGCAGTATATTATGTATCCTCCCTGGCTTTTCCTTCGTATTTGTATACAAAAAATATTGCTCTGTGTCTTTAAGTGATCATATTACAAGCGGTATTCTGTGATCTTTCTATTCAGTGAATAGCATATTCTGGGAGATGTTTCCACATTAATAGAACTTAGTATCACTCCTTTTTTCTTTATGGCTGCACTATAGCCCATAGTATGAGCGCGCCCTTCAAAATGCTGTGGGTGTAGGAGTCACAGTTTACATGTATTTCCGTTGGTTTTTCTAAGGGGAAAGAGCCCTGCCCAGGCGGAACTCTCCTATCTGAATAAAGCGAAGTGGCTGGAAATGTATGGGGTAGACATGCACGTTGTCAGGGTAAGAACTGTGTGTGTTTAAGTCCCTTGGTTTTGCTGTTACTGGAAAGTGTGTAAACAGTGCGCGAACAAAGTTAACTTGTGAGGAAACTGTTTTTGCATTCTGCTCTGTGACGACCTGTTAGAACCCTCTACCGATTGTCACTTCGTTTGTTTGTAGGGAAGAGATGGCTGTGAATATTCTCTTGGACTGACCCCGACAGGCATATTAATCTTTGAAGGAGCTAACAAAATAGGCTTATTCTTTTGGTAATTTAGTTTTGTCTAATATTAAAACTGTCTTTTCCTATTTTGTGGTGGAATTCTATGTGATGGATGATTAGTGAGGGGTATTTGCGATGCCCAGCTTCGTTTTAGAAGCACACTGGACTGTTGTCCCTGTGGGTGTATGGCGCTTGCACTGCAACGTGTGGATAATCACTTAAATGAATGAATGATTTTTTTTGTTTTTTTTTTTTTAGCCAAAGCTTAAAACATAGACAGGAAATTGCTGATTGGTATGTGTAAGATAGTTTTACTGCAGATTATGCTTTTAAAGGCTTTTCTCTCTGACCAGGCCTAAAATTACCAAAATGGATTTCAAAAAGAGCAAGTTGACCCTAGTGGTGGTCGAGGATGACGATCAGGTAGGCCTCGCTCGTGTTTTTCCGTCTTGCTGTGCATAATGCTGTTACAGATGCCCAGAGACCTTGTACTTCCTCTTTAAGGGACGTGAACAAGAGCACACATTTGTGTTCCGGTTGGACAGTGCCAGGACCTGCAAGCACCTGTGGAAGTGTGCAGTTGAACATCATGCGTTCTTCCGACTGCGGACACCGGGAAACAGCAAATCCAACAGATCTGACTTCATCCGGCTAGGCTCGCGCTTCAGATTCAGGTAAGAGAGGTGATTTTGAAAGATAAATGCAAGATGTTTCCAAAAGAGGGTAACTGTGTTTTTATTTACTTACGACTGAATGAATGATTTTTTTTGTCACAGTGAGAGAGAGAGAGAGAGAGAGAGAGAGTAGGAAATGTGAGAAAGCAAGGCACCAGGTCCAGGACTCGAACAGCTGTTGTCCATGTGGGGGTTCAGTACCCTTAACTACCATGCCACCTGCTAGCCTCATGGAGCAGTGGCTTTTTGTAAATGGAATCCGAAGACTTGTGTTGCATATCCTGTGCCAGTTTTTTCTTAAGGTTTGACCTTTTGGCAACTCACGTAAGCTCTTTTGGCCTTGACATCCTCGTTGATGAAATGGAGCTCATAGTTACAAAATTGTAAATAGCTGGCATTTATTGTTTTTGTTTTGGCGATAGAGTGCGTATATGCTCACCAGAGAAAAAGTGAGAAATCACTCCCTTGGGGAGAATGGCCATTCTGCAATCTTTTCTCCTCTGGTCTCCTTTGGGGATTTGAGGCACACACAGACACACACACACGCCTCGCATGATTTGCTAGCTGCCAAATCCAGGACTCAAACCATGCAGCCAGCTTTGTGGGATCCAGCATCGGAACCTCCACTCCACTGCTGACCCAGTAGCTGTCATTTTAACTAGGGTGTTGCTGTCTAATAGTAGCCATAAGCCACAAGTGGCTGTTTGAATGAATGAGTATTGAATAAATTTTAAAATATAGTCCTCAGTCTCAGTAGCTACATTTCAGGTGCTCCTTAGTCACATGAGGCTGATGGCTACCATATTGGGCACTGCAGACGTGGGACATGGCATCCTTGTGCCAAGTTCTATCAGACTTGCTGCACTAGGGCTCTTCGCATACCTGAATACGGTAGGTTGGTTATTTTATTTCACAGGTAAAGAAACAGAGCCAGGCGCTTACATAAGCTGTCCACACCACACAAAGCCAGTAAGTGGTAGAGCTGAGATTCAACCCCAGGCAGTCTGGCTCCTATGTTTCTTTCTTGATTTCTTTTTTTTTTTTTTTTTCCTTAGAGTTTTTGCCATAGGATGCATGTGCTCGATGGAGAGAGAGAGAGAGGAAAAAGGCGAGAAATCACCCCTCAGTGAGAAATCATCTCCAGAGGGATGGCCATACCACAATCCCTTTTCCTCCATTCTCCTCTAGGGATTTTAGGTATGCAGGCATACATGCCCAGTGTGATTTTTCAAGCCACCAGGTCCAGGACTTGAACTGTGGTCAGCCAGGTGGGAGCGAGTGCCTTAACCATTACACTACCCACCAGCCCCTGGCTCATATATTTCTAACCACTATTGTATTGCCTTTCACGTGGCAACGTTAAGAAATTCGGTGACAAAAATGAGAGCAGATGTCAATATGTGCCCCACTATGGTCTCGGTATATATTTGAATCTGAAAAGAGCCTGAAAAAATAGGGAAGTTACTCGGATATATTTTTGTTTATAATTCTAAGTCTTTGTTTCTCAAAGTGCATGTTCTGGGTGCTTGGTAAAAGCATGGGTCAGGCTGCGCGTGGTGGTATGCCTATCATCCCAGCGTCTTGGAGGCTGAGGCCAACCTGGGTAACAGTGAGACTTGTCTCTAAAAAACAAAAAGACCAGTGATGTCATCTGAGACTTACGCAGTCTAAATCTATGGGTGCTCACAGGTATGTGGCTGTGTAAGGCCCAGGAATGCACTGTAAATGCACCCAGGGTTGGTTTCTGAGGCACGTTTACAAGTCTGAGAGTCTCAGTTACCAACAGCTACAACTTCATACGGTTTCGTAACCTCTGCCCACACATGGCACATCCCTGAACTCTGTTTAAAATGCCAAAAGATTTGCTCACTTCAAATTTACTTTCTTTTCAAAGAAACAGCCATTGTACTTCTCTGTTTAAAGAATTATTTTGTTTGAATATATTTTGAAATGCCCCAACAAGGGGGAAAAAAGACCAAGTCCTTTTTGAGAAAGAACGGAGTCACAGGGTTCTATGGAGGATGGAAAATGCCAGAACTGCAGAGGTTAGCCGAGATGCTGGGCCGTGTGCTGTGTCAACTCGGGCTGAGGAGGGAAGGATCATCAGGTGGTTGCTGGGCAGGGTAGGCCCTTCCTTCCTGGAAGAAACTCCCCCAGGATCTGGCCCATACCTGGCTCCCTTGTGCTCTTTAAGGAGAAGTGAAAGAAGGAAAGGGAGTTTGGAGATGAGGTTTCCCCTGTGAGGTGCTCAGAGCTGGTGACAACTGGCACCTTCCATCAGATCACTCATAGTCAAGAGTGACTGAAATAAAGCCATGGTAGGTTGACCAGACAAAAACAGCAAACCTCTTGAGAGCTGCAGCTGGTGTCACTGGTTGCAGCCAAGAAAGCCTTGGTGAAATAAGTATGTTTCCCCTGGTATAGAAAAGTAGTTTAGTGGTCATTGCTAATAGCCTTTAAAAAGATGAGTTAAAGGGGCCAGCTGGTGGTACAATGGTACTGCAGTTGAACCCACATAGAAAAGGTCCTGGGTTCATGTCCTGGAACCTCCCTGGTATGCCAACTGAGACTGGAGGTGGGTAGTGGCAGAAAGGCCCTATTGGGGGTGCCTGTCTCTCTCATGACATAAATACAAAACAAACAACAACAAAAATTAAGGGGGAAGAAAAGATGAGTTAAATGTCTATGCAGTGTGTTCCATGAGAGGTTATTTGTGTTCAAATCAATATTCCCTAGCCAAATGTTCCAGGCACTCAGGCCTGCTTGGTTTGTGCAGCCAAGTGGCTGGCACCTAAATTGCAGGTTTTGTTCTTTGGTAGAAATATCAACCCCTGTAATATAGCCTGGATTTGGCAAAGAAGATTATGTTTCCAAATGGAAAGCTAAACTTAGAATGTGCCTTTACCAAATGAGTTTAAGATAAGTTGAAAGGTACACTGAAGCTCTTAAAAATAAAAGTTCACTTCCAGGTTGAACATGTTCAGGTTGAGCATCCCTAATCCAAAAATGTGGAATCCAGAATGCTCCAAAATCTGAAGCTTTGTGAGTGCTGACATGACGCCACAATGGAACATTCCACACCTGACCTCATGTGACAGGTCACAGTCAGAGTGCCGTAATACGAAAGTATGATATGAAATTACCTTCAGGCTATGTGCATGAGGAATCTATGAATCCTAAGTGGATCTCGTGTTTACACTGCCCATCCACACAATATCTCATTGTGTACGTGCAAATATTCCAAAGTCAAAAAAAAAAAAAATCTGACATCTGAAACACTTCTGGTTCCAGGCATTTCAGATAAGGGATTCTCAGCCTGCATATTGTACTGAGATTCTGACATTGGTAACATGTGATAAAATATTTACTTCCCAGTGGGCGGACAGAATATCAAGCTACACACAGCTCCCGGTTACGGAGAACCAGCACCTTTGAGAGGAAGCCTAGTAAACGTTATCCATCCCGGAGACATTCTACATTCAAAGGTTGTGTGCTTCTCATCCTGCTTTGGAATTTTACCTGCAGGCTTAGCCAGTTAAGCCCCTTATAGTTGGGTCAAGCAGCTTGTAAAGGACCCTTCTGCAGCCCTGCCCTGTCATTCTGAAGCTTTGAAAATACTCCCAGGAGTGTTCCCTTGACGGGAATCAGGTCCATCGGCCATTGTCCTGTCTTAAGTCTTTCCCCATTTGATGTGCTCATTTGCTTCTACCCCTTTTCCATATTTCTTTTTGTATGCGTTTTTGCTTGTGGTAGATCTGAGACCAAGCCCTGGACCCTCAGGAGTATCATAGGTAAACACCTTACTTGCCAGCACAAGAAACTGCGTCATGAAAAGAAGGATAGGGGCCGGCAGGTGGCATGGTGGGTAAGGGTGCTGGGCTCTTGCATGGGCAACCACGGTTCATGTTCCGGACCTGGCAGCTTACTTTCTCCCTTATTGTCTCTCTCTCTCTCTTGCTCTGTTCCTCACTGATAATAATTAATAATTACTTTCTTAAAATAAGCAAATAAATAAAGTTAAATAAAGTAATTCTTTTTTTTTTTTTTTGGAGAGATTTTCGCTATAGGGCGCATGCACTCACCAGACAGATAGAGAGAGACATAGAGACAGAAAGTGAGAAATCACCCCCCAGGGGGCATGGTCACACCACAATCCCTTCTCTTCCATTCTCCTCTCGGGATCTTGGGCACGCACGCACATGTGCCCGGCGTGAGTTTTAAGCCACCGGGTCCAGGACGTGAACCATGGTCGACTACGTGGGAGTCCAGCGACATAGCCATTACGCTAACTGCTGGTTCCCAAAGTAATTATTTTTTTAAAAAGCACAATTCTCTCTTTCATCTTGCATTTAAAAAAAAAAATCGGTATAGGGTGTGTGTACTCATCAGAACAAGAGAGAAAAAGTGAGAAAGCATCCCTTACAGGGGATGGCCACAGCGCAGTTCGTATTTCTCCATTCTCCTCTTGGATTTTGGGCACGTGCACACATGCGCCAGTGTATGTTTCAAGCCACTGGATCTAGAACTCAAACTCAGCCTGCCGTGTAGTATCCAGCTATCTTAACCACCATGCCACCAGCTAACCCTCGTCTTGCAGTTTTAGGTGCAGACATCAGGCTTCTGCTAACTGGAATCCTGACCTAAGTGTAGATGCAGAACTTTTAGATACTTGGCGTGGGTCCCACAGTAAGTTCAGACACACCCTTAACTTCAGCCCTGGCATGCCTGTTGCATCCCCTCCCAGAACTCCGTGGGTCTCACCTGTCACACCTGCAGGAGCCCATACTTCCGCGTGCACATCCATGCATGAGCCAGCCAGGCTCCGCAGCCTGTGTCGGAGCTCTGCTTTCTCAGGATCGGGACACCCAGTTGAAGCTAGATTATTGCCTCCATAGCAAGGCCTCTTTACTCTCAGCCCCCTATCCCCTTTTTTAGATCATTTACTCATAGTGGCTGTCCCATATGTTTTTCTCATGGTTCAGGACTCTGTGGGCCTCCATGGACCCAGTATCTTTTCTTGCCCTCTTTTAGAAGGTTTAACCTTGCGTTCCCAACTGTTCCCTTCCTTTAGGAACCAACAGTGCAGTAATAACCTGACAGCCAGAAATTCGTAATCACTCTCAGCTGCTTTAGCAGGGGACAGATGCCTGGAGCCCAGGGAACGTGGCCTCACCTCTGGGAAAGGCTAGTGGATGGGAGTGGGTCCAGAGAAGGGCAATGGGCTGATGAAGGGTCACAGCAACCTAGGGGGGAGGCCAGGAAATTGCTCTAAGAGTTATAACCTTTGTGAGGAGGATTATGCTTGAGTGCATCGTCCGTTGGGGCAGAGTTATCCAGAGTCAGCCCAGTGGAGGAAAGAATTCTCCAAAGATAAAAGCAGCTATCTCAAGCCAGGAGAGTATTCCCAGTCCCTTCAGGTATGTGCAGACATGAAGAGAAAGACCCCGTGGAGTAGCTGTGGCAAAGGGCAAGGGGGCATGTGTTGCTTTGACCCCACCAGGTGCTTTACAGCTCCCCCAGACTCTAGAGTCCAGAATTCTCTCCTGCTTTTCTTCCTGGTGTCCATTTTTTATAAAAGAATTACTTATTTAATTTTATTTATTCATTCATTTTTTAAAAAGAATTATTTATTTAATTTAATTTGATTTATTTGTTCATTTATTTTAATTTGACCAGAGAGAGATGCACACACAGAGAGAGAAAGAGAGAGAGGGAGAGTGAGAAAGTGAGCCCCCAGCTCTGGGACTCAAACCATGGTCGGCCATGTGGGAGTGTCCAACACCTTAACCACCATGCCACCTGCTGGTCCCTCATTTATTCATTTTAATTTGACCAAAGAGAGACATAGACAGAAAGTGGGAAAGTAAGCCACCAAGTCCAGGTCTCGAACCATGGTCTGCCACGTGGGAGTGTCCAGTGTCTTAAACACCATGCCACCTGCTGACCCCTGTCCATTCCTTTTTCTCCTTTATTTTCTGGACATTTTTCCCAGTCAGCATTCTAGCAACTTCTTTGTGACTTTTTTTTTTTTTTTAACTATTTTATTTTTTAATTTGACCAGAGAGAGAGAAAGTGAGAACGCAAGGTGCCAGGTTTGGGACTTGAGTCATGATTAGCCATGTGGAAGTCCAGTACCCCAACGTACCACCTGCTGGCCCCTTTGTGAAATTTTGTGATATTCCCTGCCATATCTTTGGCTTTTTTTAAGGTTTTATTTGTTTTTGTTTTTGTTTTTGTTTTCCATAGGGGATGTGCTCTTGCTGGAGGGAGAAAGATAGAAAGTGAGAAATCACTTCCCGGGGGAATGGCCACTGTGCAATTCCTTCTCCTCCATTCTCTCTGGATTTTGCGCATGCCCACACACATGCCTAGCACGTTTTTTTTGTTTGTTTTTGTTTGTTTTTATTTATTCATTTATTTTTTTTTATTTGACCAAAGAGAGACAGAGGGTGAGAGTGAGAGAGAGAGAGAAAGTGAGAAAGCAAGCCACCAGATTCAGGACTTGAACCCTGGTCAGCCATGTGGGAGTGTCCAGCGCCTTAACCACCACGCCACCTGCTGGTCCCCCTAGCACGTTTTTTAAGCTGCTGGATCTGGGACTTGAACTGCAGAGGCCCAGCCATGGTAGCATACACTGGGCACTGCCGCTCAGTAGGCTAAGACCACATGGGAGGCCTGGGTTCAGATCCCAACTCACCTAAAGGCTGAGTGTGGTGGTGTGCACCTGTAATTTCCCCTGCTCAAGAGGCAGAGGCAGGAGGATAGCGACTCAGCCAAACCCTGTTGAAAAATAATAAATTTAAAAAAAAACAAGGCCAGAGAGTGGGGCAGCAGTAAAACATGACAGTCTGTGAGAAGGCCCTACATGGGGAAGTTCCAGGTTCATGTCCAGAGACTTCCCTGAATTTGCTGAGCACGCAGACACCCATGATCCAGGACTGCTAGGCTGGAAATGGATCTCAGCTTGAAGACCCTGCTGCTGGAGTGCTCTCCCTCTCCTCTTTCTCTCACTTACTGTCATGGAAGAAATCATGAAATACATTTATTTAGGAAAAAAAGAAATGGAATAGAGTTGAATAAGCTCTATGTCATCCCCATCTCCTTCCCCAGGGACTCTCACCACTGCCTCAGGTGCGCTCAGTGCAGACTCATCCTTGCCTCTCATCCTTGATCACCTTATGCTGCTTTTCTTCTACTCACATCTCTGTCTCTGTCTTAAGACTGTGAGGTCCTTGACAGCAAGGGCTGTGTCCCTTGTCTCTGCCTCCCAGAGCTTCTGGCCCTGGGGAACTGCTCTAAGAATATTTGCTGGGTCAGTGAGAGTGGGGGAGACTGATTATTCCTCTTCAGGAAAGGAGGTGTGGCCACACTGCTCGGCTCTGCCTGGGTTGGGCTTGCACCTGTTCTGGGATCTCAGAAGTCTCCTTCCCAGGCAAGTTCTGTGGTTACATGGTGGAAGTTAGAAAGCTCTGGAAGATATCCTGACTCTCTGTTTTTCCTTTAAAGCAAGCAACCCGGTGATAGCGGCTCAGCTGTGGTAAGTGCCCCCAGACTCGGGAGTACAGCTCTCTCTAATTATTGTGTTTCTTTGCCATCGTTGTTGACTTTCTCCTTAATACAATTACACCAGAGAGTGAGTCACCTGGTCATTTTTTCTCCCTTTTACTGCTGCCTGACTATACCATCCTCCTGGTTTTCAATAAGTACACAATAGAATGTTCCAAGACTGTTTTTTTGGAAAGCACAGCTGCTTTGTTTGAGTAGCGTTGTGCTTTGTTTGTTTCAACAGTGAGTGATAAGGTGATAGGCGTTGTACAGCTCACCGTGCTAAGGGCGAGGCAGGCAGGAATGGGGGTGGACGGCTGCCCTCGGGAGCAGAGGCTAAAGAGCAAGTGCTGGATTTCCTCCATGGCACGCAGCTTTTACGGTTACGGCATAGAAGACATTGAACTCTTCTGAAGTCTCTGCAGGAAGTAGAACATCACAACACTAACAATCTCCATGAGAGTCAGCGAACCTTTTCTGTAAAGGACCAGATAATAAATAGCTTAGAGGTCACAGGCGATGCTGTCTTTTCCGAAACTGCTCAACTCTGCTTATAGCAAGAAAGCAGCCGTAGACAGTCTGTAAATGCATGACCATGGCTATCATGCCGTAAGACTTCTTGCACAAATACCAGTGGGCTGGAGTCAGCCCATAGGATGTAGTTTGAGAACCTCTTCCCTAGCACAGATGTTCTTTTTTTTTTTCCCTTCTTTTTTTGGAGAGGTTTTCACTATAGGGCACATGCACTCTCCAGAAAAACAGAGACAGAGAGACAGAAAGTGAGAAATCATCCCCCAGAGGGGATGGCCACGCCGCAATCCCTTCTCCTCCATTCTCCTCTTGGGATCTTGGGTACTCATGCACACACGCCCAGCATGAGTTTAAGTCACCAGGTCCAAGACTCGAACTGCAGTTGACTACATGGGAGTCCAGCGACATAGCCATTACGCTGACTGCTGTTCCCAGCACAGATGTTCTTGATCTGGCTTGCCTATTGGACTCCTCTGCTGAACTCTGAAATCTCCTGGGCCCCAGCCAGGCCATACTCTGGGCCCAGGCCCCAGATACTATGTATTTTAAAGCTCCCCAGGTACATCCAGTGTGTAGGCCAGGTGAAACCCACTATTCTTTCTCCCTAGAAACAGCTTCCTGACCTGTGGGAATCTGACTTGTTGGTGGACAGCTGTCCTACGAGAGAACCATAGACAATAGTTGTTGTGACCCTTTGTCTGAATCCCACTGGTCTGTTGCTTTGTTTTAGCCACTGGGTCATTCTGGGCTGTCCCAAGGCTGCTGGGGAGGATGACCTTTGATGGCTGAGCTGAGCACTCTCAGGACAGTTGGCGGAACCTGGCACATGGTGGAGCGGGTTGCCGATGGCCTGGTTAGCAACGCGCACCCGGGTTCAGGCATAGTATCAGAAGACCTCTCCCAGCACCAATCTAATCCAGGCCTCCCTCCTCGCATCAGTAGATCTAATCTAGTGTGGAGCCTCAGGCCTTCCCCTTTCTGGGCCTCCTCTTATTCACAAACAAGCCATGTGGACTGATTAGTGTGTTTTTAATCGTTTTTACACTCCAATTTCCACCTTTTCCCCCAAACCTGATATAGAAGCCCCACATACAAAACAGACAAAGCGGGGCTGTTCTGGATGAGGCCGAGTGGGGCCCAGGGCCTGCTGCTCATCTGCCTGCCCTCCCCAGCCAGCTTCAAGGCAGCTTTAGAGAACTCAAGGTTCTAGAGAATATTGAGTGCCTTGTATCACACAGCTAGAAACTCAGCCTCGCATCTCTGATCAGAACTGTACTTAGGCTGCTGTTCTGTGTCTTGTCACTGGGTTTAGTACCTAGTGTCTGAGGAAGGGGCTCAGGGTCAGATTGAACTAGTGGGCATTGCCCTACCCGCCAAGGGAGGGAAGAGGTTGAAGGGCCTGGGTTAGTAGTAGGTCTGTAGATCGGCCATGTCTAAACCTCCGGCAGGTAGTATGCTAACAAGGATTCCCACCTTCCTCAGCCTGTCGGGGTGTCTCTGCTTTTCATTCTGAGGGGCTTGTACATTACTGCATTTCTTTCCTTTGCTGTCTAAGGAGGTGTGATGGTGTTGTTTGTTTTCCTCTAATAAAACTACATTTTTCCTCTTAGCATCTAGTGGGGATTATATATTTGAAACCAAAACAAACTTAAAATACACACACAGCACACAAAAAGCCCTGGTAAATACACCCTTTAGGAACACAGGAGCTAATAACCGCTGTTCACAGCTGTGAGATCCCAGGGTGGATAGGATTGCTGTGGAGCCGTGGAAGAAATCGTGCTCTGGGCTGCAGAGGTGCTACTTACCCATCCTGGTGAAGTCAGCCGGAGGTGATCTGGCCGGGAGCCCAGCTCTGTGGGACCTGGAACACAGAGCCGTTTGAGCCCCGAGCAAAGCGTGTAACCACGCCGTGTTCCCCTCTGCCGTGGGAGGAGCTGTGAGCCTTGATTTCAGGCACGCCTCCCTAGCAACGCTGACTGCCTGGTGACTGTGCCATGTGTGCGGTTTTCCCAGCAGATGCTGCGCTTGCGTGTGCAAACACTTCGTGTTTTCGACCAACCTGCTCTGTCCATGTTTTCTTCTGTTGGAGTAGTTATATTTAAGATTCCCTCAGAACAGGATCACGCATAAGGATCTCAGAACCTGTTCTCGGGCTTGCCCAGAGCCAGTTTAGTTTAGTGGAAAGAAGGTAGGCTTTGGGGTTGGACAGAGGTGCCTTCGGGCCCCAGCCCTCCCACTCTCCAGCCGAGTGACTGAGCAGTTTCCTAATTCTGTGTTAGGCAACCATTCCTTTATCTGTAGAGCGGGGTGGTAACACTGTTGACCTCTCGCCTTGTTGTGTGGATTAAATAATAGCAGGTGGGCAGTTCCCAGTACAGAGCCCTGTGTGGTGAGCATTCCTAAGTGGTGGTCAGGTCATCACAGCATTGTTCATAGCAAAGGGACCCCTATGTGACTCCCACTGCCTGGTGGTTGGTGCTCAGAAGAGGCTGGAGGGTCCCCAGCTGAAGAAGCTCTGCTCTGGGCCTCATTGGAGCCTTCTGGTTCCATGGGGCTGCCCAGCAAGGCCAGGGAAGGCCTGAACTGAAGCTAAAATGAACTTGGTTTGCCTAACTGGAAGAACTCCTTTTTGCTACCAAAACAAGGTATCACAGATGTATTTGGAAATACCACCTACATGTTCCTATTTGTGACCTCTGGTGATGAGTGAAAGTGGCTGTTTGTGGTTTCCCTAGTTATGTGTTTATTTAAGTGGCCAATAACCAAAAAAAAAAAAGATCACCACTATATAAAAATCCTTAATGGAGTAGGTAGCAATGGGAATAGCTTATGGTCATTAAATAAATGAATAGTAATGCCACTTTACAACCTTTAAGATATATTTTTTTCTTTCTTTCTTTAGCTCTAAAACAAATCCTGAAGTCCATAATTACCAGGTGAGATACTGCTTTTTACAATTTTCTTAAAGTTCCTAAATTTTCCACGATGCTTATAATCCGTTTTTGAAGAAATAACAATATGGGAACCAGCAGTTAGCGTAATGGCTATGTCGCTGGACTCCCACGTAGTCAACCACGGTTCGTGTCCTGGACCCGGTGGCTTAAAACTCACGCCAGGTGCGTGTGTGTGCGTGCCCACGATCCCGAGATGAGAAGGGATTACGGCGTGACCATCCCCCCTGGGGGTGATTTCTCACTTTCTGTCCCTATGTCTCTCTCTGTCTGGCGAGCCCACGCACCCTATAGCGAAAATCTCTCCAAAAAAAAAAAGAAATAACAATAGTACTTTTATTTTTATTTGTTTATTTTTAGAAAACAGTAGAGGAGAACCCTTCCCTCCCGACCCCTGCTTCTCTGGTCATCTGAACTGCCTATTTTTCTTAACCTTGTCAGCTGGCAAGCATCAGGGACATATGTTGATATTTCTGGGTGGTCAGACACAACCTCCTGGCAGCATTCGAGCGAGACAGCTTTCTGTCAGTGTGTTCTAGACCTTGGAACACAAGTCCCTTGAGACGTGCCTCCAAGAAAGGATATTTTGATCATATGTTTGGGAAATGCTGTATCCTTCATTCCCCTTCCTGCATTGCACAGTGCCCATTGGGGTGTGAAAGGACTGAAAAAATTCTTCAAGGAAGGCGTATTTTATTTATTCTATGCATTTATTTGTAAATTTGCTGCAGGATGTGCATACTCACTGGGACGGCAGACAGAGGGGAAGAGAAAGCACTATTTGGGAGAATGGCCACACCACAGTCTCTCTTCCTCTATTCTCCTCTTGAGATCTGGGGTACGCACACACATGCTCCCAGGTCCAGAACTTGAACCGCGTAGCCAGCCATGTGGGATCTAGCTGCCTTAACTACCACGCCACCAGCTGGCCCCATGTTCTACGTTTTTAATCCAGTGTTTCCAAATATGATTTGAGTATTGGTCCCTCCCTCTTGCCCTCATAAAAAACGAGTCTAATCACTCCCTTGGTTTTTTTTGGGTGGAGAACCCACTGCCATCATGAGCCATGGTTTCTGGAACTGCTTTGTAGAGAGCTGTGCTCGCCCGTTGCCTGCAGGAGTGCAGATGTGTCTCCACAGCTGGCGGGATGGTCTTCGCAGGACAGGACAGCCCACCAGGGCCCAGACCACCTGCCTGCCCACCCCTCACTCGCATGAAAGTGTTCTCCACAGCCCAGCCAGGCTCAAGCGACTCCCTCCTGAGCCATTCACAGCCTTTTACCACCTGCTCCGACTTCCCTACATTTATTTCTCACCACTCCTCATCACACACCATATGTTCAGCTCACAGGGAGTTACATAACTGTTGCCCCATCATTTCTTCCCACTGCTCCTTTTGGCCATGCTCATCTGCCTGGAATTCCTTTCCCTCCTGTCTGTGCATCAGAATATCCTTCACTGACCAACTCAGAAACCACCTCCTCCGCAGGGCCTCTGTCTCTGTTGAAGGCCACCATACAGTGGCCCTCCGCCCTGTTGCATGTTGAGACCGAATGGCCAGCTTTCAAATATACCCTGTGCTTGGACCTCACCGCAGAAAGACTGAATCAGAAACTCCAGGGTAGGCTCTTTAGAGCACCTGGGGTGGCTCAGATGAGCAGCTAGCTGGGACCCTGGCTTGATGAAATGTGGCCCTTGCTTCCTCTGGCGTCATTTGTGCTCAGAAATGGCATTCCATCTAGTGACTCTGAACCTGGAGCCATCTTGTTTGACTCAGTAGCCGTAATCTTCTGAGGGATGCTCCTCTCCCAGGTTTTGAACGTCACAAGTTGTGAAGCTATGCCGTAAACCATTTCTCTGTGGAGCCTTATTCTGACTCTCCTCTTTCTTTATTTCCAGTTTTTTTTTTTTCTCACTTTTCCTACAAGGCATGTGCGCTCACAGGAAAGAGAGACAGATGGACAGAGAGAGAAAGAGAAAGGGAGAGTTCATTCCCTGGGGGGATGGCCACCACAATCCCTTCTCTTTTCAGGATTTTGGGCATGCATACACATGTGCCCAGCGTGTTTTTCAAGCTGCAAGGTCTGGGACTCAAACCACGCAGTCGGCCATGTTGGATCTGGCCACCTTAACTTCCACACAGTCTGCTGCCCCCTGACTAATCCTTTCTTGATCTTTGATTATTAATTTCTTAGATGGGGTGACATTCATTATCTTTTTTTTTTTGGAGAGGTTTTCACTATAGGGTGCGTGTGCTCACCAGATAGACGGAGAGAGACATAGAGACAGAAAGCGAGAAATCACCCC